CCCGGCCGCCCCTCCCCCTCAAGCCGCGCGCCTGCGCCACAGCGCCCCCTGCCGGCCCCGCCGGGCACCAGGCAGCTCCTCCACTCCCGGGCGCGTCTTGGGTGGAAAAGCGGCTGCGGGCGCTCCTTCTGTGGCACAGCTGCCCTCACAGGTATCTGCGGCCGGAGACCCTCGCAGGGGGGCAGTAGGAGCCACCTCGTCCTCATCCCAGCCTAGGCTTTGTCTGGCCGGGCCTTTAAAGCCCCTCCTCCTCTCGTGTGGTTCTTCAAAACCAAGCAAGGGTCTTTGGGGAAACGGGATATCTTTTATGAGACCGACTGAATAGTTGCGGGGTGGGGGGAGTTTTTTGCAAGCTTTCGGGCACAAACGCCCTTCTTCAGGCATAGGGAGGCTCCGCCTAGGCATCGGGGAAACTCCAAGCCAGGCAGCAGGGCTCTGAAGCAAGACGCTTTACTTCCAGCAGCCACCTGACAGCAAATTCTTTTCTGTTAAAGCGCAGGGTTGTTGTTTTGTTTGGCTTCGCTTTGTCACATGCTGCGTATATTGAGCCATTTCAAAGAGCGGGGTCTACACATCTTGGCAAGTCTTCCTAGTGTTAAGCTTCACTTCTTTTAGCCAATACGCTGCAATAAGTTATTTGTAAATTATTTTCAGACTCATAGTCCCTCAGCAACCCTAGGCAGTAAGACCCTGAAGGGAAGCCAGCAGTAACTCGACGGTCATTGTAGAAGTGAGTTTAATGAACCCATGGGTAGGCACAGCCCTGTGGCATTCACATGCCTGATGACTAGAGCAAGTGCCATGAGTAGAGTATAATCTACACTGTGTACATGGGTGTAATAAACAGCACTGGCAGTCTTATCACTCTGCAGAGGGGGTGCTGGAGCCCATGGGACATTCCCAAACTTTTGCACTGTGGGAGACTATAGTGTTTCTCTCAGTCGTGTCATTTTCCAAGGTGCTTTTCACCATATCTGTAACTGGTGTTGAGACATGGAATCCAGTTTATAGGACCCTTATCTTTCACCCAAGGGAGGCCATCACACGCTCTGGTGGCCAAGCAACCCCTACCTCACCTTGGCCCCACAGGGTACCCTCCCTCATTTCACCTGCCACAACTTGATGAATGTTTTTGTCCTTAAGGAGGCTGCCCCAGGGCCCTGAAGGCAAGCCTCAATTTACCTCTCTTCCTCTCCCTCTCAACAGTCTTGTCCTCAAGCACTAAAGCACCTTGAGGACACTAGCTGCAGCCTCCTTCAGCTTCTTCCACCCTCTTCCTTCCCTTCTCTGACCACTCTTGCCTGCAGGCATTGAACTACCTTAAGAGTGCTAGCCATGGCTTCCAGCCTCCCCATAGCCACTCCCATGTCTTGTAGAGGCTGGTGAAGAGCAAGACCCACAGCAGGGGTGGGCAAAACGTGGCCCACGGGCATACTAGGCCATTCTATTCGGTCCGCAGGGACCCTAAAAAATTTAGAAAATTAATACTTATCTGCTCCTGGCTGCCTGTCATGTGGCCCTCAGTGGCTTGCCAAAACTCAGTAAGCAGCCCTCTGCCCGAAATAATTGCCCACCCTACTCTACAGGCTTCAGCCCTCTTGGCTTTAGCTCACTGGTTGTTCTAGCTGTTGACTCCTAGCATAGGACCTCAGCCCTCTCGGCCTCAGCCTGCCCCAGTTTCCCGGTTAGACAGACTCGGGCCTTCATGGCCTCAGTAGAGCTCAGAACTTGAAGTACCTCTTGGGAAACCATGTGGCCTAACCAACCCTACAACCACTCCAGTTTGAACTGGAGAACAAAGGTAGGCAAACTGCTTCAAATTAAAGCATCTTAAGTCCCCTCTAAGCTATCATACTACTATCAAAGCTACCTCCCCCCACACAAGCTCTCTTAGTCCCTGGGCATATTGGACCTGTTTTGTAGTTTCTGCTTCTTGCCAGCTTAGGCTAACAGGGGCTCTTCCCTTTATGGAGTTCAAAGCATTACTAGTCCTTCTGCATCAGAGACTCAAGCTTATATTTCACGAGCTCTTCTGGTCAGGTGTTTCCCTGAGGAGTGAAAAGTGTGCTCTTAGGATTAATAAGGAGTTTACTTGCATTCTTCTGGCTGCTGCAGTTGTTATTCTCCAGAGCCCTGGTCTATTGCTCTACAGCTAGCTACCAGGTAGTTATTTGTAGCCCTTTAGCTTCCCACATATCTTTTTTTTGTATCTGGCCCCAGTTCAGTTGCCTGCTTCTACCAGTGGGCCTTAGCTGTTGACATTTCTCTCCTTAAAATTACAGGAGCTTCTGGCTCCCTAATACATACCCAAACTCAAGAACATTTCTAATTATTTCCCCCCCCCAACATACAAAAAGTTGATTTTATTGCATTCTGTGTGGTTGTCTCTTGCCATTTTATCACAGTGTTTGGTGTTTTTCTTAAAGCACCAGGAATCCATTTGATTACGTGAGATTTTCTCCTTCCATTATTAAGTGGTGAAGATTTTCATTTTCACATTTGGATTGTCTATTATATGTACCCTAAGAAAGAAAAATAGACCCCTATTTTTGTTTTATAAGCTATGGTCTTACTATCTGTCAATTCTCTTGCACTTGATGCTTAAATTCACTTTATGTGTGAGCATGTGTTTGGGAAAATGCATACATGTTGTGGATGTGTGTATGAACTGTGTGTAATTTGTGGCCCACCTTCCCATAAGACTTGTTCCCACTTATGTAGGATAATGCTTTTACCTTAAATGAAGAATTTTTGATGCTGCACATTAATATGAATATTGCATAAAGTTCTGGTGTCAATGTTTTTAAAAACAATACAGAAGAACTAGACGGAGCTGAAAAGAACTATATGGAGCTGAAAAGAACTATAAGAATAATTCCAGGGCTGAAAAAAATGGCTTGCAGTGAGATACTTAGAGTTGAATCTATTTAACTCTTTAAGTATCTCTGATGGGGCTCCCAGCCAGAGGAGAGCACCTGGCCACATGTTCAATTAATGGCATGATAAGAACAAGCCACAAAGTTTTTGCACATTTTACAGTGGAACAACTTTGTGGCTTATTTCTAGTTTTATCATGCTGTTAATTGACTGAATCTGAAGCTGAGTCACAACTTAAGACATAAGTAACTGGTTAATCACATCTTAAGTGTAATGTGTAGATGGGGCCTAACAAATCCTTGGGCCCTGGTTTGCATGTAGCTCCAGGTAGACCAGTTAAATCCTTACAGACATACGTATGAAGGCTTAATTTCTTTCAAGGTAAGGAACTACTTTATTTCAAGTCTTCCTGTGTATGAAATTCTTTGTAGTATTCTGGAAATATTCTGCAGTGTCTGTGTGTGTTGTCAGAAATGGCAGGATTCAGTGACAGATTACATTATTTCTAAATGTGTAAGAATGCAATCCTGTGTATGCACAACTTTGAGCACTCATGGATGAAGCTGTGAGATCAGGGGCTAAAGTTTCTATGCAGCAATGTGAACCACAGAGAAGACCCCCTACCCTCCTAGGAGATTCTACGTGGCTATGACAGTCTGCTTGTATGGATCATTTTGCTGAGTGGTGGCTCAAGCTTGTACATTTGTCTGTAAAGCTGCCAGGACTGAAAGACACTATATAAACTTAGTAATTTCCATTATTTTTATAAAAATGATTGAGAATAACAGGGTGTAATAGGAGTGTTTTAAAATATAGTCTATTTGAGGGGACATTTCATTTGCCCTGTGGAGGAAATTTGCAGGCAGGAGAGTGGTATCATCCCTGCCAAATTCCCAAATCTCAAGCCCTATGTGGGTGACGGAGGCTGGGCCAGGCTGTGACCCTTTCCACTGAGGGGTTGGGCCATGTGTCCTCTCCTGCAGCCTACCTGGGCTGGGCCACACCTCTTCCCTGCCTGTGGGGCCAGGCCACAGCCCCTTTCCCCCCACAAGGTGAAACCATGCTCCTTTTCTTTCTCCTGGGATGCCAGGTCAAAAAAATCCTGTCCCCTGGCAGGTTGGGCCCCCCTTCCCAACTGCACAGCTGAACGGTGCCTACTGCGCCTGCCTTGGGTGCTGGATTGGGACCACTGGCTGGATCTGGCCCACAGACCAACTAGGGAAACAAGTGGATCACCACTGGTCTGTATCATCAAATTATTGTGTCTGTTACAAAAGCACAAAGTCCTGCTTGCTGATCCAACTCAACTAAACTCCTGCCTGCAACGTTCTAGCCTACACATTTGACTTAAAGTGCATTTTATGCCAGCCCAAAAAGCAGGATTCTCAGCTGCAGAGATCTAAAAGCTGTAAGTCACAGGGCCTCAAAAAATCATGGCAGTTTTTTTTTTTTTAAAGCCTATAATTGCATTCTATCTTTTGAACCTTGTGGTTTGTGTTTTCAAGCCACTCTGCAACCAAGCACTGAACTGCTTTTAACAACCCCCTTCAAATAAGACGTTTTAAAGCTGTAAAATCAGAAGGTGCCTTTCTAACAGCCGGTGCCAGGCGAGCGGGCTGGCAGCAGGAACTGGCTCACTCCAGGTTAGGCCACCAGAGCCCTGCTCTTCGCAACTCGGGGAGGTGGCTGCAGAGAGCAGCGCCGGCTCCCGAGTGAGGCCGCTGCCGAGGACAGGGGCTGCACATGCACTTGCTTCCCGGGGTGAGCGGCTCTGGTGTCTCTGGGTTGGAGGGGAGGTCGGAGCAGAGGCCGCACGAGGCACACCGTGTCAGGCGCACTGCAACGGCAGAGGCGCTGCAGAGGGAGGCCGGGCGCCAGCGCCTGCCGGGCCTTCCTGGGCGGGCCGCTCCCCACGTGGGCGCGGGGGTCCGGGCTGCGCCGCATGGAGGCCGGGATGTTTCTGGAGGTCCGGCGGCGGCTGCAGGGCGGGCTGCTGATCGTGCGGTACTGCGGGTCGGCGGGCGCAGGGGGGCAGGGGCGGCTCCAGCCCGGCTTGTCGCCTCCCCCTAGGGGCGGGTTTCCCGACTGTGGGAGCGTCCCGCGGCTTCACGCCGGGCTCCTGCTGCTTCCAGCGCGGGGCCCCGCAGCTCCCCTCGCGGAGGGGGCTGGGCTTCGCCGTCCCCGCAGTCTGCTCCCCGCTGGGGCAGCGCTTCCCGGGCTGCTGCTCGCCGCGCCTGCAGGGTCACGGATAAGCGGGGCTGGCTGGGACCTCCGGAGGCATATGCGAGGCAGGATGAGCCCTATCCAAACCATCCCATAAATACACCATAGGGAACCGGGTTTATTTAGTCTAGAGAAGAGAAGACTGGGGCAGGGGTGGAACTGATACCAGCCTTTAACTACCTGAAGCGGGTTAGGAAGAGGATGTAGCTGGACTGTTCTCAGTGGTGAAGGTGACAGAACAAGAAGCAATGGGCTCAGGTTGCAGCCGGGGAGGGTTTACTTGGATATTAGGAAAAACTGTCTCACTGGGAGGGTGACAGCACTGGAATCGGTGCCCTGGAGCGGTGGTGGCATCTCTCCGTCCTTGGGGGGTTTTAAGGCACAGCTTGACAAAGCTCTGGCTGGGATGATCTAGTTGGGGATGGCCCTGCTTTGAGCCAGGGGCTGGATTAGATGACCTCCCGAGGTCCCTTTCAACCCTCATTTTCTATGATTCTGTGATCCCATACAATTGTAACCTAAACCCAAATAGGAGTACCTAACCCACCTGCAACACTCAGGCCCTGATCTTGTGGACCAGAGAGCAGGTGCCCTTGAGAGCTATCAGAGAGCAGGCATGGGTGAAGGTAAATAGGCATAGCAGTGGGGACATCCTTTGGCTAGCCTTGCAGTATGGAGAAGAAAGGGCTTCTAGGGAATGCCCATGGCTTCAGCCTCCTCTCTGAGGGCCTGTGAACATCAGCACTTTGACTGCAGGAGTTGGCAGAGTGTGCTGCTAACGTAGTGAGCATGAAACATGGGTGGGAAAAGACCCAGTACTCCCATGCTTGTTGCAAAGGTTTTGTAATCCATCCCCTTCCGTATTTCAAAGGCTTGGCAAACCTAGGTGTGGAAGGATTAGTGCTTTATTGGCAATCTTTGCCAAGCCTTTGTTTCCATGTGTAAAGTGTTGTTTCCATCCCATTCACCAGCGTTCTGGTGGACTCCCCAGAGACAGGGCTGTTGAACGCGTCTGGCCCCTGTGCCCCAGATGAGTGGTATGGACCCCGTCTACAGGCTGAATTGGGCCTGTGCACCTCCACACCTTGCACGCTGGGTCTGCCACCCACTCTGCCTGCTTTGGGACATGCTGTGTGCGTGACAGCACCCACCTCACCTACTTCAGGACATGTACCTCACATGATGCCCACCGGCAGGCACCATGTGTCACACAGGTCCTGGAACAGGTGCTGTGTGTAGCATGGGACCAGCTGGGAGGGCACTGCATGTGGTCTTTGGGTCTATTTTGACACCCAAGGTCATCACCAGGAGCCAGATGACAGGGCTCCAGGGGCTGGTTCCAGACCCCAGGCTGTATCTTTGACACCCCCCCACCTAAGAGCAAGTAGGTGTTCATTTTAAGAACTGCTCTGCTGCCCCTCCCACTTTTAATTTAATTTGAAACCTCAGCAGTCATGTTATGTGCATAAGGAATTTAATGTCAGATACTCTGGCCCCAATTCTGTATCTATTTGATTTGTTGGGAATTTGATGACATTTTAAATGGGCATGAGATTTAAATAATTTTAAAAAATCTCCAGTTTTTCCTTAGGCTTTATTTTACACACTGACTTTGAGTTAAAGGAAACTTGGTAAATTACTGTCATCTTTTGTAATAAATAAACTTATTGTAGAGTAGTTTGCAGCTTTTTTTACAGCCATGTATACTTCTTAATTTGGAGTTCAACAAACCTTACCTGAGCCTAAACTATATTTGAATAAAAGTCAGAAGCATTCCAACTTTGAGAGAGTTTATATGAGCAAATAGACATTATATATGCCTCATTATAAAACTTCTTTCCTAATTTTATATATATAAATATTTTACATCTCTAGTGAGCCCAATGCAGGAAGCTTGCCTTTGGATATTTCAGTGACTCCATCATCCTTAAAGATAAAAAGCTGTCAAGCCTGCACAACAATCAACCTGCCTGCAGAGGTCAGGATTGTTCCTTCCTATTGCCGAGGTATACAATATGTAGCTGGGGATGGCTTACATGTAAGACTGCAGGTCAAAGCAGATTCAAATGCAAGTAAGTGTAACTAATTTATTTATTTATTGCTTTGCTTTGGCACTTGTAAAGAGAAAGCTGCTCTGGTAAAGATATAAGCTGAAACTCTACGTGTTACATGAAAGAAATGTGTTGAAGGTTTACTGTCTGCAGTAAGGAAGTCAACTGAACTTCATCTTATACAGAACTATTTTTTATGTTCTCTATTAGTCTTGAACTTGGAACTAAAATACCTTTCTAAAGTGCTTTTAAAACAAATGTCTCTAACTTTGCTAGGTAAAGTACAAAATCCATGTAATAAAAGAGAAAGCATGTCATTTCAGGAAAATATTTTATCTAAAGAGTTTGAGAATTGTTTTGCTATATTCACGGCTCTTTCCTAATAAAGACACTTAGGGTGATTTGGCAGTTTGGGAGTTGTTCCCACTTAGTAGTTTGTAGTTAAAAATTCAGTATCAAAATTTTATGCAGTCCAGGTTATTGGATGAAGGATGGGATGTTCAGAACCATCCTTAAGAAAGAGTTGTATTGCTGTCCTTTGCTGTACTGATTTGCAGAATTCAATGTCCCCATGGTTAATTCTGCAAGCTTTAAGCGTTACTTACCTTTGACACTTTCACGACAGTAAAACAGATCCCTGTATTTTGTTTTCTAATAGTGTGGAAGAGGATTCCAAATGTTGCAAACCTTGTAAGGTTAGGGATGCTAGACTGGCTGCTTGTTTTCATCCCTTTCTACTTAATAAGAGTCTATTTAAGTCTTTATTTGATAGCTTAAAACATTTAACTTTGAAACATGGGATATATTTGGGAGGACACAAAATAGGATGACTACACTAGATATATATCATTATATGATTTTTAAACTAGGAACTAGTAGCATCTGCTATATCTTGTACTACTATCAAGATCACTGCTATCCTATAATTCAGGGGTTTTCAACCTTTTTTAACAAGTGTACCCCTTTTGTCTCAAAGTTTCAGCTCATGTACCTGTTTATATTTTTTCTCTTGTTTTTAAAGGGCAGATTGAAACCCCAATGATGAGGGAGGAAGTGGGGCTGGGGCAGGGGCAGGTGCTGCACAGCCAGGGTAGAGAGTGCGATGGAACTGCAAATGGCTTGTCTGGGGCATGTTGCGGGGGGGGGCAACTCCTGCTGCTGCATGCACCCCGGAAGGGCATGGGGGCATGTGCCCCCAGATCTGCATGTGGGGCAGAGCAGGCTGCCACTGTGGGCTGGGGCTGGGGCTGCACCAGGCTCTTCTCGGCTGGGGCTGGGCCGGGGTTGTGCTTGGGGCAGGCAGTGGCGGTGCTGGGAGGGGGCTACGGGGTGGGCTGCAGCCACTCTAGGATTTGCTGTAGCCCCCCCATAGCCTGCCTCCCAGTGGTGCTGCCCCCTGCCCCAAGCACACCCGGCCCAGCCCCTGCCAGGAATAGCCTGCTGCTACTCCAGCCCCAGCCTCCAGTGACAACCCGCCTTCCCCCCATGTGCAGATCCAGGGGCATCCCCCCCACCCATGCCCTCCTGGGGTGCGTACAGTGGGAGCTGCCCTGCCCTAGACGGGTAGCCCCTGCCCCACTCCTTCCACCACCGCTGGGGCCTTGATCTGCCCCCACAACACCCCTTCCCTCACAACAGACTTACCAACCGGACCTGGCTGCTTTCTATGCTGCCAGGCTGCGCGGTTGGCTGTTTGCATGCTGCGCTGCACCTGTGTGCACACGTGTATCATTTATTGGCCATATTAATTCTGTGTACCCCCTATGGCCTTTTTAAGTACCCCTAAGGGTACGTGTACCCCCGGTTGACAACGATGGCTATAATCTATACATAGATGCATATAGATAACAACTGAATCTTTTACACAAGGAAAAATAAGAGTCTATTACTCAATTTTGTGGCATGCTTCTCTGTTACTCTGGGATTATGCATGCGAGTTGCCAAGTGAATTGTATGAAAATGATTTAATATGTTTCCTAGTACTAAAACTCATGAATTACAGTAGTAGAAGCCATAACCCTGGTCTTCCTTTATGTAACATGATGCAGAAGTAAACACCATTTACTAACTTTTCAAAATTGAAGTCCTAAGTTGCAGCAGGTTAAAATGGGAAACCTGCTTTGTAGGTATAAGTCACATAGGTATGTACATATGTGTTTGGTGTTTCTGGAGAATCATTTAACTTGCAATTTGCAATTGACTTTTACTTCTCTTTTGTGAGTTCAGTTTAGAGTTTCAGTTTTGAAAAATTACAGCTATGAATACACTTTTTTTTTTACTCTAAAATTTGTGCTGTACAAGTTTTCATGTTCAAACAGACCAGTACGTTGTTTTTGTATTATTTACTTGTATTAATTTGTTTTGCTAGTTTCCATTTAATTGTGGAAAGAAATGTTGCCCAAGCATGTCTTTTTGTCAGGTTTTTTTTTTCCTTTTGCTGGCCAGCAGAGGGTATTGTTACACTAAAGACTCATTTTTTTTCCTTGAGAGAGAGCATATTTTTATTGCTGGTCGAGATTGTATAATATTTGTACCTGGTCGAGTTTGTACCCAGTTTGTACAATATTTAGAAATGTTACTCATTTTTCAACTATCTTATGGTACAAGTTATTAAAGGAGGAGCTGTCATACTGCTGAGATAAGGAAACTTTAACATTTTCAGGATTAAGATTTAATTTTAACTTTTCTAAAGATCAAGGATTTTTTTAAACTTTAGCCCTTCCGAAATTAGGCTTCCAAATTGTTAAAATGATTATTCAAATGTGCTGTGTGCCAGGTAATGATAATAAATAGACGGTGCTGTGTATATATATTATACTTTCCTCTAGGCTAGGCTTGCCTGTTGTGTTATAAGAAGGCAGTGCAAAACTGCTTGGTATAAAATGTCAGCATTTTGTTCTTATTTGCAGTAATTAAATTCCTACCTTTTTGAAGCCACTGTATTGGTATCCATAGTTTGTTTTTATGTTCAAATTTACGCTTAATAGGAACTTGATGTTTACTCTGTCTTTCATCTTTTTAGAATTGGTTTCAACTTTGTGTGAAATCCTGAAAGCCAATGAGAGTTGCATCTTTTACTGTCAGACGTGTGGGGAGATGATAATAAAAGACCGGTAAGCAATGCAAGGTTATACGCTTATATTAATAAATGAGGTAATGGTCTGTCACACACAAACTTAAAGGAACATGGATAATATTTATTTTAAGGAGCTTCTTCAACTGTTATTCTCACACAGTGGAATTTATTAAAATTGAAGTCACGTGACAAGTCTTTTTCCTTCGTTTCTTGCATTTTGCTCTACATGGAAAACAGAAATAAACCAGGGAAGCTGCACGGTTCAGTGGATAGGGCTCATACCTGGAAGTTACCAGACCGGATTTTTTTCCAGACTCTGCACAGCACCTTGGACAAGCCACTCTTCCCTCTGTGTGCACATATAGGTGTTACATTTCTTTTTGGAGAATCTTCACTTTCCCAATTGAACCTAGAAGTGTACAGGAAAATGTCTTCTTCAGGAGAAAGATTTTTCCACTTCCAACCAGAAATATCTTCATACTTTGAGGCTTATTGTCATGCTGTTTTTAATAGTTTCATTCTGATTCTCATGCACCAACATAATGGTGCAATTTGAGTTGTCAGTATTTTAGGAGAAACTTTGAAAGTTAGAGAGGTTGTTATTCTCACTGAATTTTGTAGAGAAATATTTATGATGATTAGTAGGTTTGTACACAAACAAACACACACATACACGCACAAAATCAAAACTTGGGCCTAGCCTACATGTTTTGCATCCTTCTGCATTTCAGGCATCCTACTTGTTTACGTTCATTCCCTCCTACAAGTTTTCCCCAGTCAGCAGATTGTACTTGAAATGTGCTCAGGTTGCGTAGCTATTCGTGGGAGGTTGCTGTCCATCTTTAGTGTAACTTAGCTCCTTCAGATTTGAGCAGCAATAAGCCTTGGGATGTATGTGAGCTGTACCTGAACTTTATGACAGCCTTATCTCTGTTTCTTACAAAGTTTGCAGATGGCATGAGAATTTTAATGCAAGGTTACTTGGTTTCCTACTTGTTGTGATGAGCAGTTTTGACAGCTTCAGCTGAATATGTACAAATTCTTACAGACACACTTGCAGTCTTTTATGATCCATGTCACTCCTGATATTGAGAATGATAATTCAGATGTAATACAGTCTGTAAACTTCTGTTCCATTGCCATCGTTTTTGCCAATTTATGGCTGACTTGAATGCAACTGAATGTTGGTTTTATGAAGTATTTTATCAGCTAAATTTGTTTTATTTTTATCTATTTAAGAGAATAAACCAAACTTAAAATCTAGTGAATAGTAAATTCTAGTAAACTTTTAAATTCTTGGTGCTGTTTTCCCATTGAAGACTTTTATGCTTTTATGTATCTGTCCACAAACACAAACTTTTTTTTCCAAATTTGAATTAATCTGATAAACACACATGGGGGTTTACTGCCTCTTGGTTCTGTTTTCTTGCTTTGTAGTGTGGAGGGTGTCAGTGGAGTAAAATGATAGACAGGAGTATGTTACCATAGCTTTACACCATAAATTTCTCCTTTCAGGAATCCTTTCAAGTGCCCTCCAAGTAACATTTGCAAGAAATGGGGCATAGAGAGGTCTGGAGGGATATGGAAAGGATGAAGCAAGGTAGCTGTCAGTATTCAACAGTCTTCCAGTGCTGCTTTATTCCCTTTATTTCTTCTCTTTCTACTGATTAAATTCCTATCTGTTATCTAGAAGAGGAGCATATAGACAAAAAGGTGTGTCTTTCAAAGTGCTTTTTCTGTCATTCAGTAGATCTGAGAGGACTGAGAAGAATGCAGTTTAAATTAATTTTTTTTACTTATCTTTTATGAAAATGGTTCTTTCTGCTAAGACAAAAATACTTTGAAAAATCTGATGTAGAAAAGTATCTTCTAATTATGTTTTGGTATAGAAGTAGACACAAATCATTACAGTTGCTATCAAACTTGAATGCCCAAGTTTGTTCAGAGCCAAATAAGACTATTTAATTTGTGAAAAGAAAAGTAAATTCAGCATGGTCTCTTAATATTTTAAAAAAGAAGTCAGAGGTTTGCTCAAGCCGTTGGCCTGGCATGACTAAGGTACACTAGGTTCCATAATCAATGGCACAGAAGTGAGTGATATAATTAGTATCACAGCAGTCACCTTTTACTGGGCAGGTCAAATTACTCAGTACCCATTTACAGCAAGGTTGACTGGAGACAGCTTTCAGAGTGAGTCTGGAGTAAGGCTCAAACCAGGTCTCTGGAGCCACACTGAGGAACACTAAGCAGGAAACCACTGCAGCCCTTTGTGTGTTGAAGGACCTGTAAAATTACAAGTCCACCCACTTTTATTTTGGACTTTCTGATTTTTAATGAGAACTTTCTAGAAATTATGACATTCAAACCTACAGTCCAACAATATGAGTGTAAATAAATGCATTGCCAAAACCTGAAGTTCAAGCTTTTCTGACTATTGGGTCCATCCTTCTAAAGCAGGGGTTGGCAACATATTGCCCTTGGGCCAGATCTGGTCTGTGGAGTCACTGATATAGTTTGTGGAACTGGTGGGCTTTGCTTGGTCCTATGCTCATACCAGGCCTGAACAGAGAGGACTTGCATCTGCACCTGGGCTGTTGCTACTTTTTTCCCCCACTGCCCGAGACTGCAGTGTGGATGCAGCTTCTAGCCACTAGGGAGCTGCTCTGGGGATGGGCTTGTGCTGAGCCTGTGCTGCTGCATGAGGAGGGAGAAGTGGCAGCAGCATAGATGCAATTTCCCACTTTTTAGGCTCAGTACAGCTCCCCACAAGCCAAAACCTGTTTTTGTGCTCCATCTGGGAAGCAGGGGGCTGGGAGAAGTGGTGGCAACAGGACCGGGTTAGAGAGCTTCTGGAGGGGCTGAATGTGTTCAGATCAGCGAGTCCAGATGCTCTCCACCCCAGGGTGTTGAGGGAGCTAGCAGGGGTTATTAAAGGGCCCTTGGCATGGCTTTACAAGCGCTCGTGGTGCTCGGGCCAGGTGCGAGATTGGAAGATAGCCAATGTGGTTCCCATCTTTAAAAAAGGGAGGAGGGAGGACCCAGGCAGCTATAGGCCCATCAGTCTTATCTCAATCCTAGGGAAACTCTTTGAGAAGATCATCAAGGAGCACATCTGTGATGTGCTGGCTTCAGGGATGATGCTCAAGGGCAACCAGCACGGTTTCATTAGGGGCAGGTCATGTCAGACCAACCTGATTGCCTTTTCTGATCAGGTCACAAAAGCATTGGATGCAGGTGTCGCTGTGAACGTAGTCTTTCTAGACTTCAGCAAGGCCTTTGACACTGTCTCCCAC